TGAAAAATGAGGCTGTAGTTAACAGTAATTTGCAACACTATAGGTGTAATCAAAATGTAAACGTAATGTAGTATGAAGCTAACATATGCGAATGCGACTAGTACTGGGGGGGAGGGGGCACCGCGACTACATTTTCCCCGGGCGCTGACAACCCTAGGGACAGCCCTAGTTGACAAAGCGTTTCGACATCTACATCATCCTAACAGGTTCTTTAGAACCGAACGGCTGCATTTTCCCGATAGATTCTGTTTTCCTAAAATTCATTCGTACGGACATAATTCATTTGAAAAAAATTGAAAGAATTCATTAATAAAGTGAATTACTGATAAGACAAAATGTTCAACTCTCCTCTAATAGTAAGGGGTTGTCGTCAAGATGCTACCCCAACAAAACGCCACCATCTAGATGACCGAAGTGTTGGGTTGATTTGTAGGTTGCAATTTAAGTGCCGTACCGACATTTATAGTCATTAATTAAAATATATAGTACATTTTCCTTGCGTCCGCCAGTAATTTTAATACGAATATTCTTTATTTCTTCTCATAAAACCTTTTGTACTACCGTTGATTATGGACGCTAACTGACTACAAGTACAGGTAATGTATCATATATAAAGGGGGAGACGTGATTCATTTGACAATATTTCTTTGTACTATTGGTCGCTGATTACTGTACAGAATCATCTTTTTAGCGAATTTCCCATATAGGGAATAAGCTATTACCGTAGGTCTCATGGTAAGACCTAGACCCGGGACCGATTTACTTTTTCGTTTTGAGGTCCCCAGAGGCCAAAAACACCATCCGTTCAAATTCATATATATATATCCTACTAATATTATAAATGAGAAAGTTTGGATGTATGGATGTATGGATGTATGGATGTATGTTTGTGACAAGTGAACGCGAAAAATACTGGTCGTATTGGGCTGAAATTTGGCATGATGATAGCTCACATTCCCGATTAACATATAGGCATATTCTTATTTCAAAAATCCTTTCGGGCTCCGCCCCAGTGGCTCTGGAGTTTCCCATGTTAACCTTATGAGAAATGAAATTATTGAATCTTAACAGCTGTTTCAATTAAACAAGTTGGTTCTGTTCTGTGATGTTCAATAGCATTAAAGTTACAAAAATTACCAAACATGGTGCAGCACTATTATTTCTTTTACATTTATGACAACAGCTAATTTGCAACCAAAAGGTGAGTGAGCGTAGCGAACGAACTTCAACCTGGAGGCGAGTTAGCGTAGCGAACGAGCTAACCTGAAGGCAAGTGAGCGCAGCGAACGAGCTCCAACCTAAAGGTGAGTGAGCGTAGCAAACGAGCTCCAACCTAAAGGTGAGTGAGCGTAGCGAACGAGCTCCAACCTAAAGGTGAGTGAGCGTAGCGAACGAGCTCCAACCCAAAGGTGAGTGAACGTAGCGAACAAACTTCAACCAGGACGTGATTGAGCCATGCGAACGAGATAATCTTGAAAATTAAGAAGTTAATCGGGGCAAAGCCCGCGGGTTACAGCTAGTATTTATATACAGGGTGTTGAAAATGTCTGGAACCAACATTATATCTGGTGAGTGGTTAAAGAAAAACAACTGATATTTTGTGTACGGATATACTATGGTTTTACCTATCTTTTGGTGCCTTATGAAATTTTTTACCACTTATAGGGAACGTCCTGTGGAGGATGCAGTAAAAAGTTTTAATGGAAGCCTATGGTAAACGATACATCATTTTAAAGGCCGTTTTTTTCTGAGTAAAGAGCCGCAAGTTTCATCTCAAAAGGACCACCCTAGCAAAAATGGCGACTGTTTGAAATTTAAAAACATTGCTATTTAAATGGTCCGTATTTGTTTCCTTTAAATGCTATTACAAGCCAGTTATGAAGTACAGTAGTTTATCACGTGGTGAACTGAAAAATGACTGAAAAAAAAACATGTAACTAAATTGTTTGTGTTGTTTTACTAAACGTATTTTTAACAGAAATACCAATTAAGCTTTCAATTATTTTCAAAAACTTCAAACAGTCGCCATTTTCGCTAGGGTGGTCCTTTTGAGATGAAACTTGCGGCTCCTTACTCAGAAAAAAATGGCCTTTAAAATGATGTATCATTTACCATAGGCTTCCATTAAAGCTTTTTACTGCATCCTCCACAGGACGTTCCCTAAAAGTGGGTTTTTAAATTTCAAACAGTCGCCATTTTTGCTAGGGTGGTCCTTTTGAGATGAAACTTGCGGCTCTTTACTCAGAAAAAAATGGCCTTTAAAATGATGTATCATTTACCATAGGCTTCCATTAAAACTTTTTACTGCATCCTCCACAGGACGTTCCCTATAAGTGGTAAAAAATTTCATAAGGCACCAAAAGATAGGTAAAACCATAGTATATCCGTACACAAAATATCAGTTGTTTTTCTTTAACCACTCACCAGATATAATGTTGGTTCCAGACATTTTCAACACCCTGTATATATATATATATATATATTTATTTATATATGTGTCCGTTAGCGCGATAACTCGAGCAAAATTGATCCGATTTTGATGAAATTTGGTACAAACGTGTAAACCTACATTTATTCGAACGAGTTCGCGAACCAGCATAATCGGACCATGGGATCAGGGGTTTATGGGGGGTTTTATGGGGTAAAAATGGGTTTTTCTCATTTTGACCCTAAAAACTTCAAATTTCTAAATTTCTCTCTAGACCATTTTGAAGAGCTTAAAAAAACAAATAATTTAGTATATTGAAGTGTTTTTGAATGTTCATTGACTACGGAGAAAATTTAAAAAATTGTAAATTTAAAATTCCCATGTTATTCTTATGGAGAATAAATAAACTGTTGTAGTTTGCTTGTTTATGGATATATTTTAATCAAATTTGGCAATTTGGTTTATTTCATACTAAGCTATCAATATTTCAATTGAAAAAACACACCTCAACATCTTCCCCGTAGCAGCAAACCTAACTACTCACTAAAATTAATGTTATTTAAATAGGAAATAAATCTGAAAATTTATAGGGAATAGTATTTTAAAAGAAATCAAGCCGGGTAAATGGAAATTCGCTTAGTATGCAGGTTTGCTGCGACGGGGGTATTCCTACCTGCATTAATCCATTTACACTATCGTCGATTATAGGCGCTAATTAGAGCTACAGTTCAACATAGTCAAGCAAATTTGAAACTGAATTGAGTTTGAGTACCTCATCTGAAAGGGCTTTCTGTTCAGAGACAAAGTCAGTTGATGTCATAAGTCAAAACCAAATACAGCAAAGTATTTAATTTATATATTATTAATATATAAAAGATTCAAATAATATTAATTAATAAATCAATATTGTAAAATTTTAATTTGAAATTAATACTATAAAATATTTATAACAAATTATACAATATTAATATATAATATTAAATTATATTAGTAATATGGAATCAAATCGATTGTATCACTGAAAAAATATCGATAGTTCTCCAGCAATATCTTTATTAAGACCTGGTATTTTGGCCTGATATTTTAATCTGACGAGAAACTGTAATTCTTACTTATTAAATATTTTTTACAATGAATTTATACATAAATATTGTTATTTCATATGGTACATAGCAATTCGGATGTGACTAAAATACAACAATTTTTTTTATAAAGAAGAGTGGAGACATAACCTAAATATACTGTCAAAATGCAACCAGTGAAATTCCCAAACTGTGTGGACATTAACACCTTTAAGCGAAAAAACACTCGATTGTGTCAACATTTGCATTATCTGTGTGGACATGTGTACTAGCTTTTGCATTACCTGTGGGAACACGACCGACTCTTGCATTAACTGTGGGGACGTCCACACAATTTTTATGATTTTTTTACTACATTTAGACCAATAGACAAGGAGTGTTCTTTTATTCATCTTCAATTTGAGGTTAGAAAGAACCTAGGATATTTTTTTCAGCCGTGTGCCTTGATGTCCATATAGTTTGGTTAAAAACCCATGTCCACACAAGTATAGGGATGGCGTGTATGGGTGTGTCTGGATGTGTACAGAGCTAGAGACTACACCTGTGGTCCGATTTCGATGAAATTTGGTATGTAGGTTCTAATCCATGGTATCTCCAGGCGTTTTTTTCATTTTTTTGAAATTTTGATTTTTAATGGGGATTTCCCATTAAATTTTAAATTTTATTCTCTCAAAAATGGCTCGAACGATTTTGATAAAAAACTAGTATGTTGTAGCCCTTTAAATTCTGAACAAAATGGTACAAATCCCATTTCTGTAAAAATTACGGTTCAAAAGTTATAGTAAATGATGTTATTTTCCCATAAAAACCCCATAAAATAACAAAAAATTGAATTTTAGACAAAAATCCGGTTTTGATTTAACATAGTATGTTATAGTCCTTACAATTTTTATTTTGAAAGTTTTTTTTTATTTTTTTAGAAATTTTGATTTTTAATGGAGATTTTCCCATAAAACCCCATAAAATAACGGAAAAATAGGATTTTCCCTAAAATGGTTCGAACGGTTTTGATAAAAATTTAGTATGTTATAGTCCTTTATATACTGAACAAAATGGTACAAATCTTATCTCTGTAAAAATTACGGCTCAAAAGTTATTGTAAATTATGTTATTTTCCCATAAAAACCCCATAAAATAACGGTAAATCAGATTTTCCCAAAATTGGCTCGAACGATTTTGATAAAAATGTAGTATGTTATAGTCCTTTAAATTCTGAAGAAAATTGTACAAATTCCATTTCCGTTTATTTAATCTCACCGCTTACGCATGATAAAGGTTGTTGAAAAACTTATGGGAGAAAGTATGTGTCAGAATGCTGATACCGTTTATTTGCATTTATCATGCCATGGCCAATACACGTTAAAATCAAATTTTTAATCAAGGTTACATTGGTTATAGTATGGGGAAAAATGTATGCAGGCTTCTAAAGTCCAAAGGCAGTACAATGCCACCAGCGACTCCGTACGGAGTTATTGATAACTTAGGTTTGCTGTTGCTGTAAAACGATTGTTTTTTCTGCTTTTTTCGGAATAGACATTGCGTTTTATCATGATTGTTGGAGTTAAAGTACAAATTAGTGAATATATATCGCAGTTTAAGTACTTATAGCTTTAGCATTAACCGTAAAATCTGCTGAAAATGGTAAGTAACACTCGTAAGTTAGCATTCCCAGGAACTGCGTATCGCACTTCGCACTGGCAATTCTGCATTGTTCTATGAATAGCCTTGAAACGCTATCATCTGGCTTGTATTCAACCGAAAATCGGCTGATCAAGAAAATCATGTGGGACTTAAGTAACGCGTTAAAATTCAAATTCTTTTGATATTTAAAAGCCACTCATCTTTCATATTTGAATATCTTATAACAACCTTCAAAGCCACAATCAGTCCAACAATCAATATCCCTCCTGGCTTGATGATTAGTTGGCCCAAGCTAGCTGGCAATTTTGTGCTTTGCGTCAGTTCCACTGTAATTGTTTAATTGTTATTACTCGATAAACAATGAAACATAGGGATGTTGATTGTTATTTCAGTAGCCTAACCTTTTTAAATTTGTGTAGCATTCCTCTCCCGAAGGATTGAAAAGACACATATTTAGGGTAACCGTTCATTAATTATGATTTAAGCCTAGCTCAGGTTACCTTATTAGGTAACTAAAGCTGTGTTAACCCATGTAAACTAGGTGGCGTTCGCAGAGGCATCCACAAAATTGAGCGGAGTCATCAAGGGTTCATATTAGGGCCTATATTGTTTTTGTCATACTGCAGTAAAAACAGTCGTTTTTAATGCATGCGTTGCGGGTCTAAAGTAGCATTTTTACTCTTTAGGGAGTAAAAATCGTTTTTAGCCTCTATGGAATAAAAATCTGCTATTGTCAACTCAGGTGTAAATTTCTATTGTAGCCTAAACGATTTCATGTATCGAAATATGTATCGATTCGTACTTCGTAATCATTTCAACCTACTACATTCTACAGTCTCTTCCCATAGCATTTTAGCATTGCAGATACATTAATCCATTCTCACACTCAACACTGCCCACCTTTACTTTTCCTTCACCACCCCCTATGTCGTGGATCTCTTTCCGTCTCTTCCCATAGCATTTTAGGATTGCAGATACATTAATTAAAGACAGTTCCCACACTCTGCACTGAAGCCTTACTACTTCCTTCACCATTTCCTACGTCATAGACCTGTTTCCTTGACTTCTCATGGCATTTAAGTATTAGATATATTTATCTAACTGCCCAAACGGTTCCCCCACTCTGCACTGCCAGCCTTTACTACTTCCTTCACCACTTCCTACGTCGTGGGGCCTGTTTCCTTCTCTTTTCATAGCATTTTAGGATTACAGATACAATCTAACTGCCACAATTGGTTCTCACACTATGCTCATACTTTACTAGTTCCTAAGCCACTTCCTACATCGTGGCCTGTTTTCATAGCATTTAAGTATTTTAGATGAATTAGGTAATCTAATTTCCACAAACATTCCCCGCACTCTGCACTGCTAGCCTTTACTACTTCTGTCACCATTTTCTATGTCGTGGGGATGCTTCCATCCCTTCTCATAGCATTTCAGCATTGCAGAATCTAACTGCTACAAACGGTTTACAGTTCCCACACTCCACACTGCTCACCTTACTACTTCCTTTACCTCTTCTTCATGCGGACCTGTTTCCCTCTCTTCCCATAGATTTAGATTGTAGATACCTTGTTCTAATCGTCATAAACAGTTCCCACACTCCGGACAGCACACCTTTACTACCTCCTTCACCACTTCCTACGTCTCGGACCTTTTTCCCTCCCTTCCCATAGCATTTGAGGATTGCAGATCCCTTAATCTAATTGTCATAAACAGTTCCCACACTCCGGACTGCTCGCATTTACTACTTCCTTCACCACTTCCTACGTCACGGACCTGTTCCCCCCCCTTCCCATAGGCCCTTAATCTAATCGTCATAAACAGTTTCCACACTCTGGACTGCTTGTCTTTACTACTTCCTTCACCACTTCCTACGTCATGGACCTCAAGCTAGTGTCGTCCTTTGATTGTATTTATGATCCATACCGTTTCTGTTCTAATATCTGTGGAATAATGCTATCAGCTATTTCTTTATCTACTGCATTCTAAAGTACACAGCTGATCATATGTCTTTGTTTTTGTGTCAAATACTGCTTCGCTTCCATAAGGATTACATTGAAACCTTGAGACCCAGTGGGGCGGATTCGTGAGAGACTTTTTTAACGCCATATAGATGTTGGCACTTACCGATATAGTCTTTATCACCATGCAAAATTTGAAAACGATTGATTCAGCCGTCTAGGAGGAGTTTGGGTATTACGAAATGCATAAGAGTCGACGTATAAGAGATTCGCTCGCTCCGCTCAGTTATATTTTTTATTTAGGCCTAGTTTGTTTACCAACAACAATTTAAAAAATTTAATGCTTAAAGTACCGTAATCAGATTGTTTTAGTTAAAAAAAAAACGTGCATTAGGCCGACTGGCTTACCGGTAATCATTTCAGTTAGGCCTAAATTAAATAAATGCCAAGGCTAATTTTGAATTTAAAATTAGGGCATAGGCTAGGCTAGTATTTTGTTTAATAAGTTGTTCCTTATATTAAAAATACTTTGTTATGAATCATGAAATAAGTTACTCCTTCTTCCTTAATGTTTGTAAGTTAATTGAGTTTGCGGTGAAGTAGGCCTATGTAAAAAGGCACCCCTACCCCTCAGTACCTTTGCCCCTCCTACTCTTCTTCCTACCCCACCTTGGGCGTCAGTCCCCAATCAGCGGTCATTGAGTAAACATCTAGCCTACATTTTGAAAACGTGCTGGTCTCTAGTGCCGGATCTTTCAAGTGACGAATATCGCGCTGCAGGTCATTGTAGGCAGTTGTTGATGCAAAGGCTTCTTTTTTTTCAAAAAACCTGTAAAGTGTGCATAGACTGTGACTGTATGTAAAAGACAAGCAAAATTTAAAATAGGCTAAGTTGAAAGTCTCTTTAAAGAGGTTGCTTTACATGAAAAGTATTCCCGTTTTCTAGCATAATAGTTTGTTAATAGTGTTGCAATAAATATGATGAAATATAGGCCTATAGTTCATCACATGGGCTAAAAGTGACTTTTCAACCCTCACTGATTTTCCGACCTCAGGTTTGTCTTGATTGTAAAACGAGCTCAGGTTTATAAGGCCTACCGTACTCAAATTAAGTTTAGCCTAGCCTATTTTTGGGGTTTCTATGAACATCGATTTCTAAAGTGGGGTTTTCACCTAATTTATGGTTTAGGCTTTTTTTTTTATTGTTTTAGCCTAATCTAAGGCGGCAGTTTAAGAAAAAGTAGCCTACTACAAATAGATTTTCTCTGGTCTTATTTTAACCTATTATATCAGCTGATATTATTATAAGGTATGTTAAGAGTTATAATTATTATTCTGTTTTGGCTTTATTGTTGTTAACTTACATGTTTTGAATAAGGCCTAATCTTTTCATACACATAAGTTAAAATGGTGGTTATTTTACTGTATCCCACTAAGTGTTATTGACAACCTCAAAAACCTGAGTTTTGGGATAAAACAATGGAGTTTGCCCTTCCTAAATTTGCCAGAGGAAAAAAGTGTCCAGAGTTGCATAATATAGGTTAGTCAAAGAAAAAAAAAACTTTGTTAAAATCACTTGAGAAGGACTAACAAAATCCATTACCGGTACTGTGTAATCAAAATATTCACAGCAGAACTTAGTTCATCAGGCGCAATATGAAAGTTAACTCTGCGCCCTGACAAAAATCAATTGATACTAACTTAGTCCCAATACCATCTAAAAATTGAATAAATCTTTTAAAATTGATAATCCTGATGCTGAATTAATAAGTTAAAATACTAGACTATGAAATAATAAAAAAAACTCAACCTAAGTTAGGTGATTACCAAATTATTGTTACCATTTTATAGTTTGATTTTCCCTATTTATAAGTAGAAATTAAAACTTAAATAGGCTTAAGTTGTAACTTAAAGCACAGAAAACATACTACTATAACCCAGAATGCCAACCGCATGGTAAAAACAATTAAGTGTTTTGAGAGAGCTTTGCCTGTCAATCCGTAGCAGCGTTGCCATGCACTCAGCATAGCAACGCTGGTGGCGCTGCCTACGAATTGACAGGCAAAGCTCTCTCAAAACACTTAATGGTTTTTACCATGCGGTTGGCATTCTGGTTAAATAGTATTATGTTTTCTGTGCTTAAAGTCACAGATATTTTTGGGGAAATCACTTCCTAACTTATATTCATACAGAAAAGCCGTCCACTATTTTGTTAAATTTTCTGCAATAAATTTGAAATGATATTTTATTTAGTCTTAGCATTTACTTCAATATCTACGCAAGTTAAATGTAGGATTTATGTTGGCTATTACAGTTAGCCTACTGTCCCGAAAGCCTGTTATGGTAGGTAATCTGTGGTTTTGTCTAAAAAAACTGTTGTACCTACGAGAAGTTTTCCTCACCTGAATTTATAATTTATTGCACCTAGAAATTTAATTTTTCCTACAGTTACCTAACAATGTACATGTTCTCTCACTGATTTGAGAAAGTAAAGTGGCCAATTCGCTCATCAGTGAGACAATGTTAACATTGTCTCACTCTAATTACTTTGTCTCACTCCAGATTTGCAACGTGAAGGCACGAAATAGTGAGCGCGTAACATGCAGGCAACGTCGTGTGCGCGCGAAGTACGTTGGCAGCACTGGCTGTAAATCAGCTGGTCAACTGTTGTACTGTTGTATTTGACACTTCACATTAAATGTTATATTAAAAGTTCACTTCTGTGTAAAAATAGGTTATGTTTGAAGAAACATAAGACCAATTTATTTGTTTTATAGTAACTGTAGGAAAAGTATAATGTGCAACTCGAGTTCAAAGTACAATTGCCTCACTCGAGAAACCATTCCTCACTCGCCTACGGCTCGTGAGTAAGGATTTCTCTCGAGTGAGTCAATTGTTCACTTTTCTCACTAGTTGCACAAATAACTATTAACTTAACTCTAAGGCCTCTTATTTAATTTTTAATCAATTATAAATTATTTGAGATAGAGAGGGACGCCACCTAGGTGCATATTTTAAGCCAAGGATGAGTGAAGAATGTTGTGAGATGATTTTTGTAGCTTTGTTACTGACTAAGATCAGCTGGTTCACCAGTCGGGATAATTTATTTCAAGCTAATCATTTACTAGGCCTACCAGGTTTTTCTTGTTGTCTTTGATTATATTTTTTTAACTGCTGGTCAGGCAACCATGTAACTTAGGTATGCCACTGCCCACTGTCAGCCATGTCAGAGTTTGCCACTTCTGCCTGGTCTTTAATTTCACAAATGTACATATTCCTATAAAATTTAAATCAGTGACTCTAAAGGATATTTAATAAACTATTTATCCATAATAACCAAATTGGATATGTACCAGTAGAACAAACCATAATTTTACATTATAATTAGACTAGGTATTGATTTCCCTTTGAATTTAATGTAATAATGAGTCTATGAAAGCCCTTTAAATTGTCTAGGTGGTGGAGAGTTTGCGAGTTTTACTTTATTTATCTATTTAACCATTATTTTTACAATTTATTAATATACTAGATTGTTTTTATTAATTTTGTGGGAAAACTTCCCCTCTCTTCCTGAGATGGCCAGAAATGTTGGCCTACAACCTTTGATTTTTAGCAGGGGTTCAAAGATGAACAAGAGAAACCGGGTAGGCCTAATAAATTATTAGTTTTAAATAAATGATCCTGACTGGTGAACCAGCTAATCTTAGTCACCAACTAGTAACAAAGCTACAAAGATCATATTACAACATTCTTCACTCATCCTTGAGTTAAAATACGCACCTAGGTGGCGTCCCTCCCTATCTCAAATAATTGATTAACTTCTGTTGATAGCCTATAATGTGGCTAATCATCGTATCATCATTATGACAGCAATGAATATGGTTTTGTTGTGTAGGCTACACAGCTAATTATTTTGTCTAATCGAATAGATTTGTACACAAACAAAAATGTACAATAATTAACTCAAGTAGGTTGTTTGGTTTTTAAGCTAATTAACAAAATATTAATTTGTCTGATAAGATTAATTAGTATCAATTTTGTAAAGGTTTTAAGATTATAACCTAGGCTTATAGGTCTGTCTAACTATATGTCTTTTACCTATTAAATATTTTTTTCAGTAAACAATTTTAACTAATAGTATGATTTTTGTCTATTTATAAATTTTATTTTCTAGGCTAATTAATTGAATTAATTTCCAAAAAGAATTTGGTCTATGCCTGTTAAAAATTATAACAATAAGATAAAATCGTTCTCCTGTCAGTCTAGCTTAAAAAACTCAACAAACAAAGCACAGCATTATTACCCTTTTGTTTGGTTGGATTCAGTGATGTAGATAGTAAAACATTGAACGTGTTACATTTACCGTTTATTAGCTCTGGTTAACCTAGGTTTGTTACAGATGACAGCGGCAGCACCTGTTGCAGCTCCGGTTGGGGCCGCGGCCCCGTCACAGCCGCAGGGCACTAGGTTCATGGTGCAATGGGAGGAACATCCCATGCATCTGGCAACAAGACTCGGCTACCTTCTTGAGCATCAGTCTCTCGTAGACGTCACACTCATGTGTAACACACACACTCTCAAAGTCCACCGTTCCGTACTTGCTGCCTGCAGTCCTTACTTTGAGGTGAGACGGCGACGTCGGCCTGTTTGGTATTGATTAAGTGAGAACTAATGTTTTTGTGTCAATAATTGGTATTCAGTTTTTAACCAAGCCAAACTTTTTTTCAAACGTAAACTATAACATATATTTGATGTAATGAATTTTAGAATAAAGTCAATACCAAGCTTGTAGAGTGGTTAGTGCTAGAGGTTCAGTTCAATTAGCCTACCAATGTTAGTTCTTATTTTATATTGTCACTAAATAGTGGTTTAAGTTCACCTTATGCTAAAGATTCAATAATTTCATCACCTTCAAAAACCAAAGAGAAAGGGATAATTTAGGTTTCATAAGCGCCGTTCACAGCTGGCGAGTTAACAAGCTACACACCGGCTTTTTTACACGCAGCTTGTAAACTAGCTACTTGCTCAAAAGCTGCTTTTAAAAAAGCTCTGGAGAAAGATAACTCCTGCGGCTACTTTACATGCCCATTCGCCAAATTTTGAGCAAGACAGTGTGTAAGTAGCTCCTTTTGGGGGATTGTGAACACAGTTGCTTGTGCTTGATATTCAAAGATGTCGGAGGAGTTTAGTTCTAGCTGGAGTTGTAGTTGTAGCCAAAGTTTTAAAAATGAATTGATTAGTTGGCAAGAGCTGTTTTAAAAACGTGTCCCTCAATGGTTCATTAGCATTGTTTTTATTTTTGATGTTCCACAAGGCTGGGTACTATTGGTACACTTTTAGGAACACCGATAGACCTTATATTCGCCACAGTCCACTTCATTTTAAATGTTCCCTAACGCCAATAACAAATTAACACAACCAGCAAGATTTCACTAAAGGTCAACCAAGTCGTCTGGAAGCCAGCTACTAAGTCAATGGAAAAGCGACTACAACAACTACAAGCGCACTCTCCGACCCTTTCTACACGCTGGCATGTAGCTTGTAAACTCGCCACATGTAAAAGGGGGCTTTAGGCAAGTTAAATGTGCTATCAGTTATTATGCGGCAATATGAAATATGCAATGTGCTATTACAAAGGGCAAAGTTAAAAGATAACATTACACCTTTCAGATCTGCATCAGCAATTAAAACTATTGAATTTCCCACTAGTAGGCTAAGGGGGGAGCAAGCTGGCGTAGTGGTTAGGGCGCGGAACTTCAGTCCCTGAGGTCCCGGGTTTGATCCCCGCCAAGTTACCGATGGATTTTATCTAAGTGATAATGCCGCAACCCCTAGGTCTAGTCTGAAGTAATGTGAAAAACAATCCCAGGCTCATGCCTAGCGTCCTAGGACAAAAAAAAAAAAAAAAAAAAAAAAAAACTAGTAGGCTAAGGCTTGAAAGACCAGGTTATTATAATTTTTAGCATAAGTCTTTAAAGATGCATTGTTTGGATATAAAACGAATCAGTAAGTTATCACCATTATCTATTGGGCTAAAAGTAAACAATAAGCATATTTCAGCAAACTTTTATGAGGTGCTGATCAAAAAGTGTGTTAGTTTTGACTCAGAAAGTGAGTTCAAGATAAGAGTTATTAAATTATGTTCTCAATTTCAATTGAAAATAATAAAAATTATTTTTTTTTTAAATGAAGTAGGTAGCACTGGAATATAAGGTTTTGATTATTATATTAGTTTGGGTATGTGTCAATTTATTTGTATGCTGACACAATCTAGATAGTTTTGTGATCTGGTCCTATGTAATTAGTTTGTTAAATCAAATTAATTTATTGTTATAGTCTGTACTCCAAAGGCAGTTGGGGAATCACCCATTGATTGTTCTTAAAGACATGAAATTTTGCGTTCTGAAATCTCTCATCGAGTTCATGTATTGTGGAGAAACTAGTGTCACCGAAGAGAACCTGAATCCTTTGATGGAAGCAGCTAAATTTTTTGAGGTGGGTGGTTATTTATGTATTGCTTGATTTTAATTTGTCTTGTAATTAAAGAATCTTTTGTATGCAGATTAATGACTTCTATGTCTTCTAGGTTCTATGGGTTCTATGTTTCTAGGTTGCAGAAATATGTTTTCAATTTTTTAGATAAAAGTAAACATTAAAAATTATCTATAATATCTTGACAGTAAGTGACGTGTCCATGTTTCGTTGGTATTGTAGAAAGGTGCCTAATATGGTGTTTGGTTACATAACCGTGCAAGATAAAGTATGCAACTAGTAAGCACTCGTAAACAAGTAATTAATTGTGGAATGTTTAGGTTGATCAGCCCCAAACCAGCTGTTACAGGTGTGGGTGTTGGTCACTTATTAGGGTCTACTGTTACTCAACTAAACTAACACTAAAGGTGACTAGCGAACCCAATAGCGACAAATTACGTTTCTTTAAGCCTTAAACAAATAAAAATACCCCCGACTAAACGAATTTATATTTTCCTGATATGTTTTACAATTACATCCATTTAAATAACATTAGGTTTAATGAATACCTAGATTTGCTGCTTCAGGGAGAGCAGTAACTAGTGTTTTTATAAAATACTAGCTGGCCCGACAGACGTCGTCCTGTCCTAATGTGGTTTTATGTCAAATGCTCGTTCATTTTCAAGATGAGCTCGTTCGGATGGCTCAAATCACGTCCTGGTTGAAGTTCGTTAGCTACGCTCACTCACCTTTTGGTTGCAGATTAGTTGTTGTCATAAACTAAGAAAAATATAGTGCTGCACCCTGTTGGTAAACCTATTACCTTTTTAATGCTATTGAACATCACAGAATCAAATTGTTTATTTGAACGAGCTGTTAAGATTCTTTAATTCCATTTAAATATGAGTACTCATAAGGTTAACATTGGAAACTCCAGAGCCACTGGGGCGGAGCCCTTTTGACAGATCTGCACCAAAATTCACACAAACTATCCTTGAATAATGCTTAATAATGCCTGAAAGTTTCATTACAATCTGTCGAGCGGTTTTGGAGTCCATAAAGGACAAACAAATATACATACAAACAAACATACATTAGATTTTATAAATATATTACAAGTTTCAATCAAATACATTAACCGATTTTTATTTCCTTTAACAACATTTTCATTGTAAAACAGTCAATCTATTGAATTTCAACGATGGCGTGTTTATCCATTGTGAATTAATTTTAATCCGGCATTTTAGGTGAAAGGTCTGTGTACAATGTCCAAAGAAGTGCTTGGTGGAGAACGCCCTTCACCTTCTAAACCAGTGACTTCGTCTACAGCTATCAACGGCGCTACAAGTGGCAGTATCGCTGATATTTTCCCATCAACCACCTATAGAGGTAAATTGCTGTTAATGTAAGAAATTCCTAGGTATGGATGGGGTTCTAAAATATCTAGGAAAAATGTATTCTATTATTAATTTTAGCGTGGGGTTACATATAACTCAAAATCTACTTGCCTCAGGATTTGTTCCAACCATCAGAAATTTGGCCTTGTTTGCAAGTGATGATGAAGATGTCTTCACAAATTTGCTGGTATAGGATTGGCGATGATGTCGTCTGCCAAAATCGTTTTTTTCTACGCCAGTGGCATTTCACAAGAGAAGTTACGAGAGATTAAATGTGTAGTGGATGTGCCGGGGATTGAACCCGTCCCTCTCGCACCGAAGTCCGAGACGCTAACCACTAGGCTAGCAACACAACCAAAATATATCTCTTAAAAAAATCAAATAAAATAAAAATATATCGCTTAAAATATATCTATGATATTGTCGCTACTGCGGGAGTAGATGTTGTCTCTGCAATTGTGGAAGATGTAGAAGATTTACTGCTATGGTGGTTGACGATTTTACCTGGGTTGTGAGTGATGTTCACACAATTTACTGTAATTGCGTGAGATATTCATCATTTTGCTATTATGGCAAGTGACGATGCTGATAGCCCGGATAACTTCAAAATCACTAATTACACTCAAGATGATAACAAATAGTACAATGAAGACTGTAAATTTGTTTTGATTGTCATTATAGCCATTTGCAAAAAGTTACTCAATATTTAAAAAAAAAATTCAGGTTTCCCTTGTTGCACAAGAAGTAAAAGCTTGTGAAAAATCCCGTCTGTAACTAAAACTGCAATCTCATCGATCCGCGGACATATTCTTTAAAAAAACTGTTAAGGATTATCGAATTATTTTTATAGATACTAAATACTGATAGTTATAAAGTTTTCCGGATGAGATATCAAATTTGTAATAAATTCCTGTACCTGTGGAGGTTGCAAATTACAAATACCCATTTTTGCTGCGAAATCATTTATAGGATCCAGCAACCAATCTGCCAATGTTGTATTAATCATCAGATAATGTCCAGTAAATATATATTTGACTGAGTCAAAAGAATGATCTACTGACCATGGTTAATACACTTAAGATTGATGTAGAGTAACTATGAATGGCCTAAGAATATTCTTAGGATCCTAAGATTATTCTTAGGTTGGACTAGTTATGTTAAAAATTAACCTTTTTTAATTTATCTTTAATTGTCATAGGCAGGGGACGTCGTTCTGGAGGAGCTAGAGGACGCAGAAACTTGGCTACAATGTTGATCCCTCCCCCTCAAGGAGCTCCGCAGTCCGAGACGGCTCAAATCATGCTTAGCCTTTCCAACAACTCCACTTCACCGACACTACAAACTACCAGCCGTAATGTAAGAATCAGTCCCAATAGTCGCTTAGGACGTTCTTTACAACCTGCCTCCACTATCCTTGACAGTACAAACCTTCTTCGTAACGGATCTTTAACAACAACAGATTTGAAAGCACTTCGAGAACAGCTCAATCTAGAACCCCGGAGGAGGGGTCGAAGACGTCAGACGTTTGGAATGGGACGAGGTAGGATAAAAGATCTAAGTGACACAAAGTTTGGAATACAAAATATCAAGAAAGAGATGGAGGATGTGTCTCACAAAGATGGACTTGTCTGCAAACCTCTTGAGTCAAAATTGAATGTAGTCAACAATAATGGAAACAATGATGCTCAGAGTCCTTTGTTAGCGTCTTTACTCTCAAAAGCCGAAGCTCTTGCCAAAGCCAAAGTTAAAACAGAAAATGAATGTGATGAAGGGCAGACAACAGAACAGGAAACAATTATGTATCAGTTTGATGGAGAATCTAGCGGAGCGACTAAGTACTTGGACGCTCTTAAAGAAGCCGGTCTGCCTACTGATGTACCTGTATTGATTGACAACGGAGATGGCAACTATGTGACTTTAACTGAAGATGTCCTCATGAATGTTTTAGGCAACAACGAGGAGTTCCAGTTCCAAGTCACTGAAGCTACACTCGAGCAAGGAGATGTAAGTGAAGGGGTTGTTTTACAAGATGGGACCATCATGATGACAGGCAAGAATGGGAAATCTGATATATCTGGTCCTCTACTCACCGTTTCCAAGAAACCCATAACGATTAAGGGTGTGAGGGAGGTCAAAGGGAAGAGGGGACCAAAACAGAAGCATCTTATTGTCAAAGACATGTTGGCCAAAAAAAATACTGGAATTGAGACAAGTCCACAACCAAAAGCTGTTAAAAAAGCTAGCAATAAAAAATCTGTCCAAGAACTTATAAATGAAGCCGTTCTAGAAAGTTTAAAGAATGGAGCTGCTAGTGAAGCAGAAGCAGACCCTGATGCAGTCGTTCTTTTTGAAGTTACTGGCAACGATAAAGTAAATAAATATGTTGTGTCGTCCAAAGAAGTTAATGCTCTCAAAGCTATGAATGAGCAGATGGAAAAACAGAAGAAGCTGAATTCACCAACTGAAAAGAAATGTGCATTATCTTCAACAGTGATAGATGGCAACACAAACATCGCTGAAATAAAACTTACTGTTCCCAAAAACTCTAGGAAATCCATTGTTTCTGAAGTGTTGGCAAGAGCACAAAGTCTAGAGAGCCAAGTGAAAGGTAGTTTGCTCAACGATGTTCCTGACTCATCACCAAGTAAGAGTGATGAAATCAAAAACGAAGCAAGATCTCCTCAAATGCTTGACATGAGTATAACATCAGATGTTCTAAATGACAGTTCTCAACTAATTAACATTAATTCAACAAGTGACAATCTTGAAAATTCAACTATGATAGATCTTGAGGAAGAATCTCAAATTTTGGGTGTAGATCATTCTACTGCAATTTTGGATGAGGAAAATTCAATGGTAGTGTTGAATGAAGAAAACCAAATAATAGAATTGCAAAAGCATCATGATACCATCCATATGTCTGGAAATGAGAATCTAATTGTTGTGAACGAAAGTGTACAAGACACAAATCAAGAACAGGTAGATTCAATTGAAGAGCCGAATGAAGATTCACAGCTTATGCAAATTAGTGAAGTTTCTCAAGAAATGGGACCAGAAGAAGCGTCTGAAGGAATAAGTGTCAGCGCTGATGAGACAGACCCTGCGACTAGGAGAGATATGCCATTGCTGGAAAATGAATCACAGCTGGTAGAGTTTGAACTGATCGATGGGAGTGGCTCAAAAATAAAATCTTACAAAGCATTTACAGTTGATGGGAACATATTAAGTCAAAAAGAAATATCTGAACTATCTAGACTAACCGACCAAAACAAAGATTCAGATGTAATTGGACTTTTAGATATGGTGTGTGAGGAAGCAGCATCAAACGATATTGATAGTCAGGTCGATGATGAGAGTGCTAATAAAGAAATCATGCCTTCACATAATTCCGTTAACCCAAACATCACCTCTCTTGAACCGGATTGCTCGTCATTCAAAGTGGTGGAAGCGGAGAAAGGGTGTTATAACCTAGTCCCAGTAGAAAAAGACTTTAGTCAAAGCACTGGGAACTTGTTGAAGTACACTGTTATGTCCGAGAAAGTGGATTTTGAAGGAGATGAATCAACAAGCTTTAATGCATCAGGCACAGAGCATTTGGTGTTGGAAGAAGTACAAAACATGAATACTGCTAGTTTAAACTCAACTGAGATGTCCTTAGACGGTGGAGAATGTCAGGAGTTGTCTGTTGAACAAGCCCTACAAGCTATGATGGGCGATGAAAACAGTACTGGTATAGAGACCCAAGATTTTTCCCAAGGAGACGAGGAAAAAATTGTAAACGACGAAAAACCGTTAACCGAGGATCCTAGTGTACATTCAACGGAAGGTGAAACATCACATAATAATGTTGATACGCAAAAATTCGAGTTTGTGTATGAAACGTCAGAAAACCCTGTTAATGAGGAAGCTGCTATTTCCGCTCTAAATCCCCTACCTGAAACCAGTACTAGTGATGTTCTGTCTAATATGATAATAACGAAATCAGAGGAGACTTCTAAAGAAGCTAATGAGAACCCTACAATTGTCTCTCCGACAAAAGATGTACCATTCGCTGTTGGTCTTCTACCTTTAAAAGATGCTCTTGTCCAAATACAGTCAACTCCTGATCATCAGCCCCGAAAAACAAGGTCAGGAAGTACTAGTAAACCAGAAGTCATAGGAGCTAAAAGGAGATCATCTTCAGAAAATTCATCAGATGGTCCTAGTAAAAGAAGAAAAAGTTTTGAAGACGGAGATATTCCTACTACCCGCAATGAAGAGGAAGAAAGTGTTACGTGAGCGTTTTTTTGGTATTTGAACCACTCTTAATCCAAGTTTTTTTCAGGTTTTTTGTTTTGTTTTTATCTAATTGATGAACAGTTTTATTTTTGTTTGGCGGGTTTTTTGTCTTTGTTAACTGTTATGATGAGTTATACTGTACATAACAGATTCTGTTGCTGTTAATAAAATTTTAACAGGGAATATGTAAAGTGTAAATACTCTTAATTTATTCTCTCACATGTCTTATGAACATCACAGTTGTATGCCATAATGTATCATGTTAAGAAGATTGTGTTGGTTAAAACCAACTCGCAATTTTAATTTTTTACAATGTTATCTAATTTTGTATTAGATAGTACACTCAGTCATCAATTTAAGTTTTTTTTTATCTTTAATAAAGTTTGTTTTTCACCAAGTTTTTTTGTCTTGTAGTCTTAATGTGATGTTTTAGGTGTATTTTATTTATGTAAAATTTTAGATGTAATTAAAAAGTTGGATCCAATCCTAATAAGTTGGATATAATTTAGAAAAAGTATGGATTTTATCCAAAGGGTTGACATTACCATCAAATGAAAAGGAAATATATTTTGTTAATATTTTTTTGTAGCAGTCTAAAGTAATACTATCTAATGTAATGCCAATTTGATCTTAATCTAAATATTTTTTGATATTAATTCATGTATCCTCATCCTCCTTTAGATGAAACATTCTACAAAAATGTATTTTTCTCCCATTAAATTAGAGTTATTACCAAAATTATTTTTATAATTTTATTTTGCATGCAAAACTGTGGAATGTTAGTAACTAAGCATGTTAATTTGTGATTAGCTTATAAAAAGATAGGGCATTTGCCAGGAATTATTAAGGAAATTGACAGGAAAGCAGGCTTACCTTTAAATAAGTCCATAGAGACACATAACACATCACAAAATTAAAAGTAGAAATTTTCGTGGTCACTGACCACTTTTTCAACCACTGGAGATTGGAGAAATGGCAATGGCAGTTGCAATTTGAATCTATTACACCTTGTCACAAAGCACAAAGATACACTATGTTACACCTTGTTACACTATGTGACAAGGTGTAATAGATTCAAATTGCAACTGCCATTGCCATTTCTCCAATCTCCAGTGGTTGAAAAAGTGGTCAGTGACCACGAAAATTTCTACTTTTAATTTTGTGATGTGTTATGTGTCTCTATGGACTTATTTAAAGGTAAGCCTGCTTTCCTGTCAATTTCCTTAATAATTCCTGGTAATTTGTGATTAGAAAATTAATCAAAGGTTAGCTTGACATTTTGAGATGATTAGTGTGGAATGGATGTGAAATTCATTTTCAACCAAAAAGATGTTTTAGCTAGGTTAACCAGGTGTTCTTTAGGTTAACAGAACTTCTTTACCTGATGACTTATCAAAAGACTTATTTATCTTCATCCATCTAATCTAAAGTATTCTTGTATGGATTTAAATTTAACCAATTAAAAAAAACATGTTTATGATAGTGGTTCAGAATCTTTTGCTAATCTGTCAATTACACAACGACATTGTTTGGAAACTGTTATTCAAAACATTTGTCCTTGCTTTAATTCCACTAATTGTGTTTTGTTTCCAGCCAATATGTGCTTATTTTGTTTTTATTAACTCAAATTAAAAAATTCCAGTTATAACTTCGTACCTCATAAAAATTGATTTACATTCAGCTTCTTTTTTTCTGTTGCTACTAAGTTTTTCTGTATAATGGGTCCAATTTTCTTTTCAAGTTGTGTTTAATAATGAATTGTATCATGTGGGTTTTAAAACTTGTTATTTATTTTGTAATTTCTTTTATTGTTACGTGTTAGGAAAAAGCAAAATTATTTTTATAGTATTTTTCATTTTTTGAAAATTACAATAAACTTATAACTTAAGTAGTATTTACCTTAATAATCGCCTAATCTTTAATTTTTGGTTGAGACCTATGTGTTTTTGGTGAAATTATCTTTAGGGTCTTCTTTAATGATTTAGTCATAAAAATAATTATATAAATATGGTCAGTATATTTAAACTTAATACATACTTAATGTTCACCTTCTGTAAACACCTAACCTCAATTTAGGAATTTGTGATACATGATGTACACAAAAAGTAATTAACACCAATCTGAAAATCCTAAAAATGGTTGATCTAACTCAGGGGCAATTTACCGAATGGGCACATGCCTATGGCGGGAGGCAATTTATAACTTAAGAAGGGTAAAAAAATTGGAAATTAAAAAATAATTTGGTGGTTGTATTTGCATGCGGTCTCAGTAAACTTCTGATAATCCCTCACGGCTGTGTTGACATCATTATTGTCTCCTGTCGCCGTATGGACATTGTAATCGTCTTCCATGATCGCGGCAATATATGAACATATCCCGTGGTCATAAGGAGATTATCGTAGTCTACCGCGAATGAGGCAAAATTCTGATTTTCCCGCAGTCGTGTGGACATTATCATCAGCTTGAACCGATTGCGGTAAAATTATGATAATCCCTCAGGGCCGTGAAGACATCATTATTGTATCTCCCTTGGTCCTGTAGTGATCGTAATCGTCTCCAGTGGTTGTGAAGACATTGTAAACACCTACCGCAATTGCGGCAGAATGTTAATCATATCCCGCAGTTGTGTGAAGATCACCATCGTCTTCCGCGGTGGCGGCAAAATTCTTACCGTTTCCCGCGGTCGTGTGGACATAATCATCGTCTTCTGTGATCGCGGCAATATTCTGATCATCCCTCGCAGCTCTGTATATATCATCATCACGTTACGCAATCACGGCCAAATCATTATCATAACCGGCGGTCGTTTAGACATTATCATCGTCTTCTGCAGTCGCGGCAAAATTCTGATTATCCCTCGCTGACATATTGTCATTTCCTGCAGTCACAGAAACGTCATTTTTGTCATGCGATAAATTGAATTTTACAGGTAGAAATACAAAATTCACTCATAATTCCCACTATAAAAAAAATCACGCATAATTCCTGGATTTTATAGTTGGTGGACACCCGTATTGTAAAGGGACACTACTTTACCAAGGGTTATGCCTAAGGCGCTGACATGGTCAAAAACGGGCCTGAACTAAATTTTCTGTAAAAATCTATCTGTACAATGCTAAAACTGAATAAAAAACGCTATTCAACTCACTTAGGCTATATATTTATAAACTTTAGTTACTTCAAGTCGTTTAAATAAAATTTTACAAGAGAGAAAATTGAAAAAAAAAACAATCAATTCTATTAAAGTACTGTCAAATTCAAGAACTCAGAAATGGTAATTGATCTTTTTAAATTTGTGAGTTGGTGGCTCAGTTGGTGACAACACAGTCTTGGGTCCAAGGCAGCAACGTCCTAGGGTACCTGGCCATTACTTTTGTCAGTACAGTTTGCCCTTGTACCTGTACCGGCTCACCTCTTGCTTTTCTAGATTCCACAAACAAGCCAGAGGCCTGCGTGGTTAGGGAAATGCAAGGTTTCAGTTATCTCTTAATGGCGCTATGGGCCTGAAAGAGTGCTCCCTTCCCCCTTTTCTTGCGCCCTGGTCCCAGGTCCATTTACTAAAGCAACCCTGAAGAGACCGCCAATATTTTATTTTTTATGGAAAAACATCTTTTAATGTTAATGAAGGTTTTTTTAGTCACAAACTGGATTCGTTTAACATGTAGATTCTCCTGAGGAAACAACATCGGTAAAAAACCATACATTTTTACTTGCACTCTCCACCACACAATATATTTGAGCATATTTTGTGCTAAACCAAATTTTGTATAAATATAGTTAGTGAGATTGGTCAAAATAATCTAGTAATTGAAAACACTTTATTTAAAACTATGCATGGAGATATTTGTTGTAACCATTTTGTACAAATATGTATAGAAATAATAAGTAGTGTAGATTTTAAGTTGTAAAAAGAGTTCTTGATCTCTCTAGCTGTTTGTGTGTAAGGTCTCGTTTGTACATAAGATTTTAATGTTCACCCATCAAAGAATGCCTTGGCAACCTTATTTATAGTAATATATTAACGATATTATGTAACGTGAATGTATATTTGTAAAGAATTAGCAATCTTGCTTCATCTGTTCATTACAGGTAAAGTCTTTTAGTTTTTTTATTATAAAAATTTATCTAGAGATTTATTCTGAGCGTTGATATTTTGAGTTTTAACTAAAGATATAGTTATGGTAGTATTTGAAAGTTTGTGTGTGTGTTGCGTTAGCTGTAAGGAATGATTTCCTTTGATTTTCGTGTTTTCATCCATTCAAATTTGAAATATTATCCAGCTTATAGATGTTAGAGATAATTTTTCATCCACTGGTAATTTAACTATGTGATACAACCAAATGTCAGCAAAGAAATAGCACCTTTGTACAGTGTTTAATTTTGTACAAAATTAAAGTTGTCCAACAGTAATCTCTTGGCTATTCTTTAACCTTAGCCTGTCTTAAACTTTTGGTTGGGTCAAACTAAGAAAACAGGTCTTATCTTTACTGAACTCAGAAATTTGTCGTGTTTATTTGAGTATACCTAGAAGTTAATTCCCACCAACTGAAAAGAAACATTGCTAAAAATAAACTTACAGTAGACAGTTTATGTTATACTCCACCACTCTAAAAAACATAAGGTATTTTCTTTGACTATTAATAATTTTATTAAGGAACTGGCCCTGGTACATTTCACACTAAAAAATATTAAATGTTGAAAATAATATATAAAATAAAAGAAGTGTCCTTTTCCCCTTTTTTATTTAATAAAACACAACATGTTTCGTCTATAATTCTTCAAGTGTTATTAAAGATTAAACTGTGGCCACAGATGTGAATGTAATCACACAATACGTATCAGTCCAACCTTCTCCCAAAGCTTTCAAGTAAAGCCACAAAGGGAGGACTGGATCTACAGTAAATATTTCATCATTGTTCTTTCACAATAATGAACAATAAAATATATGGCTAAACTTTATATATGAAAATATGACACTAATTCATCTGTGTTATAGAAAGGTTTTTACTTTAAATTTTAAAACTATGTGGTAATTACATTTCAAAAAAATGTAACAGCTGATAATATCTTTATTTATAAAAAAAGTGTTATATTAAATGTTTACAATTGAAATACAATCGATTAAATAATTAATTTGAATTTGTGTCAATTGGTTTATTGAAGGCAGGAAAATGGCAGTGTTTTTAAGTTACGTTCTGCTAATATGTGGTGCTCTGGTTTTAGCTGGAATTGGTGTTCTTATTTCTTTCCTGGGCGAGAAAGCCTGTCTCTCAAGACAATGTGTTGGTCAAGCAAAATTCATAAAACGTGCAATGGACAAAAACTTGAATCCTTGCGATGACTTTTATTCTTTTGTTTGTGATAACTACCCACTGTTTGGTACTTCAATTTTAGAAG